ATTGCATCAAATTGAGAAGTTTCTGTACTGCAAAAGAAACAGTCAGGAGAGTGAAGAGACAACCGACAGAATGGGAAAAAATATTTGCAAACTATGCAACAGATAAAGGGTTAATAACCAGAATCTACAAAGAGATCAAGAAACTCCACAAAAACAAAACCAACAACCCACTTAAGAGATGGGCCAAGGACCTCAATAGACATTTTTCAAAAGAGGAAATCCAAATGGCCAACAGGCACATGAAAAAATGTTCAAGGTCACTAGCAATCAGGGAAATGCAAATCAAAACCACAATGAGGTTTCACCTCACCCCGGTTAGAATGGCTCACATACAGAAATCTACCAACAACAGATGCTGGCGAGGATGTGGGGAAAAAGGGACACTAACCCACTGTTGGTGGGAATGCAAACTGGTCAAGCCACTATGGAAATCAGTCTGGAGATTCCTCAGAAACCTGAATATAACCCTACCATTCGACCCAGCCATCCCACTCCTTGGAATTTACCCAAAGGAGTTTAAATTGATAAACAAAAAAGCGGTCTGCACCCTAATGTTTATTGCAGCACAATTCACAATAGCCAAGACCTGGAACCAACCTAAATGCCCATCAACGGTAGACTGGATAAAGAAATTATGGGATATGTATTCTTTAGAGTACTATACCGCAGTAAGAAACAACGAAATCCAGTCATTTGCAACAAAATGGAAGAATCTGGAACACATCATGCTGAGTGAAGTAAGCCAGTCCCAAAGGGACAAATACTATATGTTCTCCCTGATCGGTGACAACTGACTGAACACCAAAAAGGAAACCTCCTGAAGTGAAATGGACACTATGAGAAATGGTGACTTGATCAGCATAGCCCTGACTGCTAATGGACAACTTAATACATTATCCCTCATAGTATTTTTTTTTTGTCTGTTCTACTTAATATGACTGGTTTAATTCTGTAATTATCACACAGTTATTCTTAAGTGTTGAAAATTAACTGAAATGTGATCCCTGTTAAACATAAGAGTGGGAATAAGAGAGGGAAGAGATGTATAATTTGGGGCATGCTCGGGCTGACTTGCCCCAATTGGTAGAGTTGGAAACATACCAGGGGATTCCAATTCAATCCCATCAAGGTGGCATGTGCCAATGCCATCTCACTACTCCAAGTGATCAATTTCAGTTCACAATTGATCATAATGAAAGGACTAAGAGTCAAAGGGAGCACATAAACAAGTCTAGTATCTGCTAACACCAACCGATAGAATAAATAAAGGGGAGAGTGATCCAACATGGGAAGTGAGATACTCAGCAGACTCATAGAATGGCGGATGTCCTAAATAGCACTCTGGCCTCAGAATCAGCCCTAAAGGCACTCGGATCTGGCTGAAAAGCCCATGAGAGTATTTCAGGCATGGAAAGCCAAGACACTCTGGCAATAAGATCTCTGTGAGTGAGATCCCAGTGGAAAGAACAGGTCTTCAAAGAGGGAGGTGCCTTTCTCTGAAGGGAGGAGAGAACCTCCACTTTGACTATGACCGTGTCTAAACAAGATAAGAGTCGGAGAACTCAAGGGGCTTCCATAGCCTTGGAAACTCATAACTGGTGCATAGGGAGATTACTGATGCCATAAACAGGAGTGTCAATTTGTAAAGTCAACAACAGGAGTCACTGTGCACTTACTCCTCATGTAGGATCTCTGTCCTTAACGTGCTGTACACTGAGGCTTAATGCTATAATGAGTACTCAAACAGTATATTTCACTTTGTGTTTCTATGGGGGTGCAAACGACTGAAATCTTTGCTTAATGTACACTAAACTGATCTTCTGTAAAAAAAACAATAGAAAAAGAAAGAAAGAAATTATCAATTCCCAACTTGACTCTCACTGGGATTAAACATGACAATAGGTCTGATCTGATTTCATCATCATTTAAAAAAAAAATCATCTGTTATTTCTCACTTTATGTTTCTGTGTGGGAGCAAACTGCTGAAATACTTACTTAAGGTATACTAAGCTGATCTTCTGTATATTAAGATAATCGAAAATGAATCTTGATGTGAATGGAAGGGGAGAGGGAGTGGGAAAGGGGAGGGTTGTGGGTGGGAGGGACGGTATGGGGGGGGAAGCCATTGTAACACATGAGTCGTACTTTGGAAATTTATATTCATTAAATAAAAGATAAAAAAAAAAGATGGAATGTAGGCACTAAAAAAAAAAATATATGGATATAATATGTGATGTTTAAATCAGAATAAACATAACTATCTCCTAAAAAAAAAAATAAAAAAAAATAAAAATAAATGCTGTGTGCAGGAGCATGAACAGATTAATTACATAATTTAATAAATTAAATTAAATATTAAATTGATATTAAATTAAATTTAATAAATTAAATTAAATATAAAAATAACATTTAAATAAATTAAATATGTTGTTAATATTTCTAAGACTGCAATTCACATTGTGGAAGAAATGCTAATGATAGTGAGGGAATGATTAAATACATGGCAGAATAAGAGGAATTAAAGAATATATTATGAAGAATATCATCAAGACAGTAAAAAGACAACCAGTAAGATTGGGAGAAATATATGCAATCATACATCTGAGAAGGATATACTTTCTAGAGTATAAAAAAGAACTCTTATGACTTAACAGGAGAAGGTAAACAACCCAGTGAAAAAACTGGGCAAAAGATTTGAACAGCACTATACTTAACAAGATATATAAGTGGCCACCAAACACATGAAAATATGTTCAACATCATTACAACAACATCGACAACATCAGCATCATCATTAGGGAAATGCAAATCAAAGCCACAATGAGATACTACTTTGTATCTCATGGCTGGAATCAACCAACCATATAAACAGAGAATAGACAATAACAAATTACAACAGGGACATGGAGCAATTAGGATCTTCAGACACTGATGAAGGATTATAAAATAATGCAGACACTTTGGACAATAGTATGGCAATTTCTATCTCACTCAACATTTCCACTCCCAGGAACGTAATTAATAAAAATTAAATCATGCCCATGGAAACCTATAAAGCAATGTTCAGACAAGCCAAAAAGCAGAAATAATCCAAAAGCTCACCAACTGATGACTGTATAAAAAAAGTGGCATACCCACAAATAGAATATTATTCATCCATAAAAGAGTAAAGACTGCTACAATATGCCAAATTAATCAACCTTAATATATTATGATAAGTGAAGGAAACCTTGGTCACAGAAGACCCTATACTACATGATTCCACTCATATGAAATGTATAAAACAGAATTCATAGAGATAGAAGTAGATTAGTGGTTGCCAGAGGATGGTAAGAGGGTGAAAGGAGAGTTACCCCCTAAGGGTATAGCATTTCTTTTTTGAGAGATAAAACTGTTCTAAAACTCTATGGGTCAACAGTTGTACAACACAACAAATATACTAAAATTGCTTAGCTTTACACATCAAAGAGAATTATAGATATGAATTATGTCTGGAAAAACTGTGAGATGTATACAAATGAGTTTTAACAAAAAAAAAGTAAAACTAATTATGATTTTACAAAAAATCATTCCAGGGATTGAAAAGAATGTAGGGAACATTCCATTTCACAAGAGTTTTGAAGCTAGCATACCCTTGATATGCTGCACAGAAGCTTTTGTACATAAGAATACCCAACAGCCAAAAACAAAGAATGAATATGTCAACAATGCTAGACAAAGGAACCTTGCATCAAGCCCTACATCCAATGAACTCTAAACAAGTTCCTCTAAGTCTTATAAATCTATGATTTTATGAAAATGGTATTCATAGCACTAAGGACCAACATTCATTTTCAGCAGTAAAATCATGCTTATTTCTGATAAGAAAACTGGAATTCAAAGAAAATATCAGTACAGAAAAAAAGGAGAAATCAACATCAACAGTGGAATAAAAAAATTGCATAGACAATGTACTTCTCAGTGACAGTAAAAGCATATTTGATGATCTGTATGATATCAGGACTCAAATACATACTTCTAATAATATGAACAAGGCACTGACCTGTTTAGCACAAAAATTTGAGCTATGTTATTAAAATATACATTCATATTACTTACTTTGTGACTTGAAACTTTTCCAAGTACATATATTGTTTGAAATGAATATGTCAAAGTTCAAAAGGTACGAATTTGAAACTGAAACACCATAACAACAGAAATCAAGTACTTCTGGGAGAATCATAACTATTTTCTTTATTTTTTTTGACAGGTAGAGTTGACAGTGAGAGAGAGAGAGACAGAGAGAAAGGTCTTCCTTCCATTGGTTCACCCCCAAAATGGCCGCTACAGCTGGTGCACCACGCCGATCTGAAGCCAGGAGCCACATGCTTCCTCCTGGTCTCCCATGCGGGTGCAGGGCCCAAGCACTTGGGCCACCCTCCACTGCCTTCCTGGGCCACAGCAGAGAGCTGGACTGGAAGAGGAGCATCCGGGACAGAATCCAGCATCCCAAACAGGACTAGAACCCAGAGTGCCAACGCCGCAAGCAGAGGATTAGCCAAGTGAATCACAGGGCCAGCCGAGAATCATAACTTTAACAATTATTTTTGCAAGTTAATTAGAAATCTAGAAATTTATTATGGCTATATAAATAATATATCCATCCAATTATTTATATAAAATATACCCATCTGTAAGTCAAATACACTAAATAAGATGAACTTAATTGTTACCCTTAGTTCAGTCTAACGGAAACAGCCAAAACAAATTTCTTCCCAAGAAAATTTTTCCTACGTTTATGTTACCATACATTGTATATGGTCTTTCATACACAATTTATATTTATATATATGAATATATAACTAGGAATACAAGGTAGATAAATGGCATTAGTTCACCACTTTGTCATAAAAATCTATGAAAAGCCTGATGTACACATACACTGGCATGTTTAAAAAACAACAAAACTAAAAATACCAGTATAAAATATTAACCATAGGAAGAATTATTTTAAATTATACCTTCTTCGAGGATGGGTCGTGGTATGACAAACGGAATCTCCTGCAGAGGCTCCATATACTTGTGACCAGCACTAATAATCTTTATTTGAGGCAAACAGAGAACAAGTGTTCCTGGCATGCTGGTTTGTCCATGGTACCAACTTCTTACTGTTCCAGGAATATCACCGGACACAATTGTACTTGGAGAAGGCAGGCTATCATTTGGAATGAACACACAACAAGACTGTAATTCAAGCTAGAAAAGAAAAGCAGAATTAAAATGTTTGAATCAGACTAAACAAATATCTAACATTTTCCCCAGAATAAATAGGCAAGCAAACAAACAAAATCCTATGAATGTAGTATGTAAGTTATTTTTAGTAAGGAACCTAACAAACACTTGAAAATCTTCTGCTTTCTTGCTATAAACTTGATCAAAAGCCCTAGTGATATGAGATGTAAATATATCTGCCCTTCCAGAGTTCTTTCCAAGAAACAAGATTTAATTAAAAAGTGTGCTGCAGATAAAACAAGGTAGGAAAGTCCTCATTCTTCTGGACTTTATCAGAATTTGTTAACACTTTGACACTTACCAAATAAGGCCTTAGAACTGACTAGTATCTTACAGCTTCTATTTTAAAAAGAGGTTGGGGGTAGGAGGCTATTTTTATGTGAAATTGGCTCTCATTTTTTTTTACAATTTAAAATATGAAAAAAAGATGTTTAAAACATTCAGTTTATAGCACTAAACAACCATTAAAGAACATGTTTATATTACATCTTTTAACACCTATATACAATGACTCAAGTATTGTGAATAAACAGATACACAGTAGTATGAAAAATCAGAAGACAAAAATCACAGCATTATTTCTTCTTTTATCATTATTAAAATTATCACCTAGATAGTAATTTCACATTAAATTTTTATGTTCAACTGTTCCCAGTATTGTTACTTAAGTTGCCAGGACCTTAAAGGGGTAAGATAAAACTAAGTTAAGTCCAAACCAAATACTGAATTCAATATGAGTTCTTAATTCAAAAGCAATGTAGATTAAAATCTGTTAGTCTTACTTGGCTCTTACAAATATCTGGTTATTAAATTTCCACAATTAGTAAACTTGAATTATTTTTTCCTCCCCAGATACAGAATTATTTTTTAAAACAAATATAAACTAGTACCTGTTGACTTTCTATGATCTTGGCATACAAAGATATTAATCTGAAGGTGTGATAATTTTTTTTTCCTTTATAAATGCTTGGACATCTTAGGAAACTACATTAGCAAAGAGATTTTTGTGAGAATTTTATAAAACTACAGCTTAAGATAATACTCCTTTTCATGGGGGTAATATACTCCTTAGTGAGAACAGATGACAAGTAACAGGTTTGGAATTCCTTGATATGATGAAAATTTCACCAACCTATTGATAGGCAAAACTGTCTTTGTTTCACATTTCTGGGCTTAGACAAACTAATGAACTCAGTGAAGAAAAATGTAAGTAAAATTCTGTATAAATAAATGTGTTGGTTCACGACATATGAGCTCATTTTTTTTAGTTCTAGAATTTTATTTTGCAGCTTAGAAAATTTAAGTATGTGTTTAAGTAGTTGATGGATCTAAGATCAAAACATTTTTCATTTATTCTAGAATTCGAAGTTTATATTGTCTTAGATACAATTATACCTTTAAATATTTAATATAATTTGTTCACGGTCTTTAATAGACCAATTTAAGGTGGTATATTAACAGCATATTCTACTCTATTAAATCAGGTTGAAATATCATATGATGAAGAGGCAGTATTTCATATTTCATGTAGAGGTTGATACTAGGCTGAAAAATGCTTTGACATGAGAGGTATTAGGTATAAAAAGCTGCCACAAATATTTAAATATGCCCTTAGAAACAAATTCAAATTGTACCAGAATAACAAAACATACTTTGATTCCACTAATTCAAAAATCAAATTTTTCATCAAGTTTAAACAATCTGAGCAATGAATACAAAATCAATAATATACTGGCATGACATGTATAACACCACCCAAAGAAATGCTTTCTAAAACATGATATATGTTCTGAGGATGCCTTTAATGATAAGAATTAAAACATATACTTAACCCAAATTACTGAAAAATATTATAATGTTACATCTATTATATACACTAAAGCTATCACATAAATCTTTTTACTTTTAAAATAACTGCTACAAATGTATGTCTAAAATTGTGGTTTTAATGTAAAATGTTGAGTGATTTATATTACTGAATACAAATCTGAAGCAGTAAATTTTACATTAATGTAAGGATCTGACAATCCAAGGGAAAGAAAATGAAGTAATCTGCCAGTAAGAAGTCCTCAAGCTGGGGGTCAGATCATGTTCATGGAAACCATCTGGTTGGGACCCTCTGAGCCACACCAAACACAAATGATCTTTTAAAAAAATATCCTATTCATTAATGCATCACAGCTGCACTGAGTGTTACTTCATTTTTCCATGGCAACATCTTTTCTGTTTCAAGGATCCTGTTTCAGTTTTGGTAGCAACGTGTTCTTTTGCCAATATTGAACACATTCATGTGTTAAAGAGAAGGGATTATTACAAATTCTTGAAGTAGAACCACCTCTATTTTCATTCCCATTTTGCCAAGGGCTACATATCTAAGTATTATATACTGAAGATAAACCCGTAAACTAAAAATAATTTGGTATTCCTAGTTTAATAGACCAAATAATTGCCATGCATTTTTCTGAAGTTTCAACTTTATGTGTTCTTACAGTGCACATACACCCAAACAAACACTCTTGTATATTCCTAACCCTACCTGAGAGGTTTGGCAAACAGACTGCTCTGATTTATGTGCTCTTTAATTCTGATAACAATTCATTTAAAAACAAAGAAAGATTTCTCTTACACATTATTCTAAAACTAGTCATTATGCACTGCCCATCCTAAACAGCACTTTATATACAAACTCTGTCAAACACTGTACCATATTTCTTGCCTTTTGAAATAATAATCCAATAAGCAACATATTTCTTTATTTAAACTTGAAACATGTTATCATTATAATTTGCAAAACTTCTATAGAATGAAATAATGTACCATGTGTGAATATATTTTATTCTTCAGTAAACAATTTCAAATAAAAAACAAAAGCAAAGAAATATCGTAGGTTGCATTTCATTATTTTTTCCTTTTTTTATTCATACATTCTTTAATATCTACCATGAACTCAGCTGAAAGTTTGGAGTACAGAAACAAAAGACATAGTTCCAGCCCTAAAAAGCTTAAAATATTTTTCAATATTAAAATCCTTATAAAATTTTCCCAGAATAAAAGCTATATAAAGTAAAACACTTTGTCTAGCTTATTCACTCTGTAGTCTTAGTACATGAACTAGTACGTACTAGGTATTTAATAAACAATTGTTATATAAGTGAAAACAATTATTTTTATTAGCATCAGATACTGATGCTTCATACCGATGTTTTATACAAGTATAAAACAGTTCTCTCTATAGCAGCATCCTATAAGGGTAATTATAATTAATAAAACTGAATTGTTGGTTAGATGTGTTCTACTCCAGCTGTGGGATCTTTTTTAATCTTTTATGGCTTCAGTTGCATCATCTTTAAAGAGTAAAGTCATTAACAGAATGAAGGTTTTACATAGTATATGCCACCTCAATGTTTGCTAAATAAGTCAATAACAAACACCACACATCTACTGTATGTCAGATTCAACATATTCACTTCCATAGATTTATAAAAGATAGTCAACAGTGCATTTTTAATGCAATTGCTTATGGTTAAACCATGTACTACATAGGGATCACAAAAATACAATATTCCAACTGCACTACAACAAATACATAAACTATAGCCCTAATAACTGCTGTCCGATTTTATAACTTTTCAATGCATTGCGAAAATACATTGGATATCTTCATATATAGAAATATAAATATATCCAATTAAGGGCCTGAAATTAAAAATTTCAGAAATGAACCTTGGTTTCTTCTTTTCTAGAGGTTATAAATCTCATCTTCTCCATAAAAAGTTGTCAAGCAGAAAACATGAAAAAAAAATTCCTAAATCTGAATTACTGTGAAATGGTTATCACTTGTTCAGTATCTGTAGACAAGCATGTTGGCCTGTGTGCATAATTTGTAAGCATTAAATAAAACAACTTAATTTTATAATTAAAGTGACTGACAGTTGATCCATCTGTCCTGACACATCTAGCCCTAAATTTATTCCTAAAGTTAAACTAGAGTTCACTGGATATCAGGACATCAAACAATACGATTTAATTTTCTAAGAGAGAAAATTCTATAGGTCTTGCTTAATCAGCTTATGGTGCTTTTGACACTAGACTGACACTTATCAAAATCCAACAGAATGTGGGAAGCAGCCCCACTACAGTAGTAACAAATCATTATTAGCAAAAGGGATACCAGGACAGTTGCAGTAAAAATTTTAAAGTCCATTAGATTATACTGTCTACTTAGAACACTTCAGAGATTATCAAATACCAACCAACTTACCGAACAATATAGGACATGTCATAGGATGCAATACAAACATTAGTGTAAATGGGGGAAAAAAGACAAAAACCTGAATTAGGCAGAAAACTAGGGCAATATTCTCCTTTCTTAGTGAATTCCATGCCTCAGTATTTCTCTTTATCAACTGCATGACATTACCAAATAAATGCTTCTAGATAAAATATAAAATAAAATTTAAAAAGTTTTTAAAATATGACTTTCTGAAATACAATACATTGAGAAAACTGCAAAGAATCAGTCATAACGACCTGTTGTTAAAATACTCAAAATAAAGCTCATACATGAAAAGAAAAATAATCTTAAGACTGCATGCAGATTTATAAAATTATCCATTCTAACAGAAGAAGAAAGGTCTTTTTTCTTATTAAAAAACAAATCAGGGGGCCAGCACTGTGGTATAGTAGGCTGAGCCTACACCGTGGCACCAGCATAACATACAGGTGCCGGTTCGTGCCCTGGCTGCTTCTCTTCTGATCTAATTCTCTGCTTATGGCCTGGGAAAGCAATGGAAGATGACCCACATGCTTGGGTCCCTGCAACCACCTGGGAGACCCAGAAGAAACTCCTGGCCCCTTTGGATTGGCCCAGCTCTGGCCAATGTGGCCTTCTGGGGAATCAACCAACAGTTGGAAGATCTCTCTCTAACTCTGCCTCTCAAAAAATAAATAAAATCTTTTAAAAA